TATCCAAAAACTCGCTAGCTCCTGGCGAGTTTTTTGTGAATAACAGCCCAAATACTGCTTTGCTGAGCTGCTTACTAGTGGAGAACTTGTTTGTACATGTGTTCTCCATGACATGATGCAAAAACATTCAATATGTGGTATGTTCAAAATATATCATATGTTTTGAGATGCTTTACCATATTGGGATGATGTTTTAGCTTAGTCATCTTTTCAATTAAGCGGTATATTACATATGCAGCCTATTTTCAAGCTCAGTTGATGGAAGTACCATATATAGCATGCCGAGAGGTGCCAGACAGGCTTTACAGGCCCTACGCAGTTGCTAGCTCAGTTATTAGTAGGTAATACATCGCACACTGTAGTAGTTACTACCACATGATTAATCAAACCTGATCCATCGCCTCCATGGCTTGGGCTGGGCTCAGGCTGGGCTCAGGCTCAGGGCTCAGCTTGGCATCGCCACAAGCCCAAGCCCAGGCTTTGAGCCCGAGCCGGGCCCGCACATCACTAACGACAAAGGTGTAGCCATGGTCGCGCACACGCAGGCGAGCTGGACATAGAGCTAGCGGTAGTGGTGGTTGAGCCAGCCACTGGGCACAGCGCTGATGCTGTCGAGCGCGACGAGGTTCTTGTCCGCGAAGAGGCCGTTGAGGAGCAGGCCGATGATGCCGCCCATTGCATGCTCCACGCCAAGGTCGAGTGCGTCATCGATGTGGAGGTAGAACTTGACTGTGCAAGGGAGTGCCTGTCAGGATGAGCGGGGAAGGAGGAGAAGGAGAAGAAAGAGAGGGGTGCGCAAGTTTGGTGGCATAGTTTGACACCGCACCGACGATCGTCCCTGTGATGACGGAGGCCCAGAGGGGAACATAGCCGGACATCGGCGTGGCAGCAACAAGGTCGGTGATGGTGCCCGAGCAGAAGCCAACCATGGACAGCTTGCACTCGACGTGATAGTCGAGGAAGCACCAGATGATGCCGCTGAACACCGCAGCGGGCATCGAGTTCCAGACGGCGAGCACGGCGCAGAGGTTTGTGCCAAGACCGACGAGCGAGATGTTGTGTGGCCGGAAGTTGAGCAGCTTGCGCTCGGTGTGGCAGCCAAGCACCCAGGAGTACGCCAAGCCCCGATCCCACTCCCAATTTCGATGGGTCTGCCACCTGGGTAAGAAGCGTTAAAATGCACGTTTGCATTGAGAAGAAAGAAGAAGAGAGCCGCAAAGTGCATGTGACCCGGACCTGCAGGGTGAAAGGTGCAGAAGTTCACTCATAGCCCTGAATGCGGGCAGCCATTGGGGCAGTTGCACAGGGTGGCGGGGCAGTTGCTGGGAGTAGTTGCTGGGGGCAGTCACTTGGGGAGTCGCTCAGGGTAGTTGCACAGGGTGGCGGAAGTTGCGGCAGTCGTTCAGGCAG